GGCCTTCAAATTGAATCATTTCCACAGACACTGAAAATCCAACCCCCCGTGTATTACGCACATCTCGCAAAAGTTTATTTTCAAGTTCTGGAAATTTAGCTTTCTTTTTCCGCGGAAAGATTGTTGATTTTGTGNAGATTGTCGATTTTGTGACGTTTTTTCAAGGGCATCTTTCGTTAGTATCCATCTTCGCACATTTTTTTCGTCAACATCGAATTTTCTCCCTGCTGCTCGATTTCCGTGTTCTTGTGCGTAACGCACCACTTGAAGTTTAAATTTAGACGTATAACCTGCTCTTACTCGACCCATGTTTCACTCAGAACTAACCAGGCAAGTCAAGTAAAGGCGAAAAGGTTATAACTCTCCCCCGCAATGCCTTTGTTCCGAGTGGTACTGTTATTTTCGCTAGTTGAGAACTTAGGAATGTTAAACGTTGCCAAATTTCGGAATAATTTCTACTCCTGAAATAATATTCCAAGAAAATTATTTTTTCTATAATTTGTCTGAAAATTGTGCTGCGGCCTATACACGCACTTGGCCTATACATGCGTAAATACGGTATATGTTCAGTAAGTACTGGCTCGTGAATGAGTTATGCCCAGGGGCGTTTTTGTTTTCAATTAGATATCATTTGAATGCTTGTATTGGGGTTTTACTCAGGTCTATCTTGTAGAGTTAGGATGGTGTATCTTTTCAGTCTGTGTGTAGTTTCGCTATTGTCTAACATGTTCACTGCTAGTGCATTTGTGTGCTTTTCTAATGTTCTTAAGAATTTGGTATTCCACTTTTTCTACTTCACTGAGCAATGTTTTCATTTGGAGATCTTCGTGGATCCTGTGGTTGTTTACGTACCAAGGTGCGTTCCAATGGGTCGGAGGGCCTTGGATTGAAAGTGCTGGAGGATTTCGATGGTTGAGCTGTTTTCTTTTGGTTTTGATGTGCTTTGCCCGGCCCAGTCTTCTTTCGCGATGCATGCCCAGATATTTCACTTCTTTCTGGGGTGGTTCAACATGGTCCATTTGCACTGTTGGACAGGGTTGCTTGCGTAGGGTGAATGTAATTTACGTACATTTGCTTCGATTTATATTAATTCTCCATTGTTTCATATAATAAAGTTTCTTCGCGGTGGCTTGGAGTTTCATTGAGGCTATCGCTGGACTTTCATGTGTGGCTAAGATTGCTGTAACATCCAAGAAGGTAGCAGTTGTTGAGTTGTCTGAAGTCGGGAGGTCGCTTGCATAGATAAGGTATAGGACAGGTCCTGAGACATTTCCTTGCGGTACGTCTGCTTCTGTTTTCCTTAAGTTTGTGGTTTCGTCTTGGAATTCTACTTGAGAGAGTCTATCTGTTAAGGGGTCTATACACGTACGAGTCTGGTTCGGCGAGCTTGACTCGGTTTAATTTCACCATAAACGCATGAGCTGACTCCAGACTTTGCGACACACATATGGACGCGTTTGGCTCATTGAAACTCGAGCCGAGTTGGACTCGCGAGCCAGACTTGTACGTGTATGGGCCCCTTTAGATGTAATTCCAATATTCAGTAGTCTGAAAGGGAAGGTTTCTCTGATTCTGAACAAGAGGCCTGGGTGCCATAGTTTATCATGCGCTTGTGTGAGGTCTGGGAACGCCGCAGAGCAGTACAGTTCATCTTATTATCTGTGCATTTCGGAGTACTTGTTCTATGATAGAGTGTTTCTGTCTGGGAGGAGTCGGGTTTCCTGTACTTCCTGGCGTAATCTCTTGAGTATTGCTTTTTCGAAGATTTTGTTCATTACTGGGAGTAGGCCCAAAGGTTTATATGAGCTGGCTTCAGTCGCGGTCTTCCAGATTCTGGAACCAGGTGATCTGCGTGACTTTCCATTGAACTGGCGAATTTCACGTCCCAATAGTCTAGTTACATTTAAAGTGTAACATGTTGTGTGTGATTCAAAACCCACAGATACGATATCCCCTTTCATCAGTGAGACCATCAGTAGATGAATGCACACTGTTTATACTGTAATTCTAGGCGTCATCACATTGGATCCACAGTTGCTACCATACAAAATTTGATATTAAATATGGTTACAGTAGTCTGTGGCATAGCTCAGTTGGTTAGTCAATTCACCCATCGTGTTGCACTGGGTTCCATCCCAGATAATGTCGCTTAATATTTGTGACGGACAAAGTGGCACTGGATCGGGTTTTCTCTGTGAGCTCCAGTTTCTCCTACCAGTTCTCAATCCATTATCTGCTACAGAGCTACTCTGTTATTTAGTGAATTTTCGCTAGCTTTTGTGAAGTAAAGGCCTCAATTTTCTTTGTGTATTCATGAGCCAGTATATGAAATTTTGATTGCACTGATCTAAACAGGCAGTGAAATAACACTGTAGGTTTTATTGCCATGCTGTGAAATTACCTGGGCTTGCCCTGCTCTCTTAAAGAGAAGACATTGGCATTACTGTAATAAGTGAGATATTTGGAGTGTGAATGTGCATTTGTATAGCATTCTCATGTTGTTTTATGTATTATTTTTCAGTGATCAGGAACCTCAAACGGTTTTTGTACGTTGGGGGCACAGTGAAAGTAAGTTTCAGACACGCAGTAATTTATGCTTAGCCTCTAGCTAGTCTCTAAGTAGCTCACTACAAAGCAATAACAATTTTGTCTAAATGATGTTGTTGAGTAGTAGCCATTCTAAGTAGTTGGAGCCGTGGCCGCTTGAGGGCGGAACCTCGTGGGTTGTGGCATGGTGGTGCCTGTGCTCGCCAGGGAGCAGCAGGACGGTTGCTAGGAGTGAGCGTGCGGAAGCGTGTGTGTTGGCGTCAGGAAGGAAGCATGCAAATGGAAACTGGTTGCTGTACGTTAAGTTAAATTAAGAGATGTTTAAATACTTTTAGGAGCTACCAGAGAGATGTTGCTCAGCGCACAACAGATGTATTGAAATGTTTTCTGAGAGTGATTTCTTGAAATTTCCTTGAAGGGATTTGGAAAATAATAAATTGCCATGTATAGAAATGTGTCTTCGAGAAACTCAGTCACTTGATCAGTAGATGAGTTCCCAGTAGAATTAATTCTTATATATCTCTCTTATTGGTTTGTGTTCCAGAACTGGCGATTGCTACTTGTAGGAA